GAAACACAAAAGACCCAGAATAGCCAAAATAATCCTAAGCATAAAGAACAAACCTAGAAGCATCATAATACCCTATTTGAAATTAGACTACAGGCCAGGGATTTAGGTCAGTGATGCTGCCGCCTGCCTCACAAGTAGTACAAGTTCCTGAGTTCAATCCCCGGTACCAAATTAGACTACAAAATGTCAGAGTAACCCACAAAAAAGGCATGGTACCAGCACACAAACAAGATGTGATCCAAATATGTAGTGAATGTATAAGTTTTCAAGATGTATTACAATAAAAGACATACTGACCTTAACCCTGCTCGAAATACTTGCCCTCACTTCAAACACATATCATATCCTAAAGTTCTTGCTACTTTCTGAAGCACTTATGAAAGCCCTCTTTCATGTTTTTATGAGATACGATTTGAAAAATATAGTGAATGCTGCTGCTTATCATCTAGTGGAAGGGTAGACTTGCAAAAACATTTCAATGTGTCCTCATCCACCTTATTCATTATATAATACACAATACAACTTTTGGATCTCCTTCAAAGTAAAAATAACCATGAGAGGTAATGTGTTTGAATTGATTCAGGATACCAAGGCAACTATAACAGCATAACTAAAGACACTCATGAAAGACAACTCCCAAAACTGCTTCAGAAAGTGTCAAGAATTACGGGATAAGTGTTCAAACTGAGGAGGAGTATTCTGAGGGAGATTAGTTGCAGTCTTTTATTGCAATAAATTTTTAAAATTTAAATATTTGTCTTATTTTTCAATCACATCTTATAGATCAATGGAATAGAATAGAGGATTCACACCCTTATAACAACTGCCATGTACATCTTGATGAAGGAGCCAAAAATATATATTGTATAAAAGACAGCCTCTTTAAAAATTGGCCCTGGGAAAACTGGATATCCTTATGTAGAAGACTGAAACTAGAACCCCATCTTTCACTCTATATAAAAATTGATCAAAGACCTAGGTATAAGACCTAAAATTTTGAAAGTAATAGAAGAAAATGTAAGGGAAAAACTTCAAGAGGTAGACAAAGACAATGACTTCTTGAATAGCTCAGGAAATAATAGCAAGTATGAATAAAATGGGATTACATCAAACTAAGAAGTCCCGCACAGCAAAGGAAACATCAAGAACAAAGAGACAGCCAGCCTATAGAATGGGAGAGAATCTTGGCCAGCTAGTCTTCCAAACAGAGAATTCATATTGATATATTTTTTTTTAAAACTCAAAGTAAATAACATTGTAACACTAAATACCCCAATAAATAAGTGGGAAAATGAGTTGAACAAATATTTCTCATAAAAAAGTACTAATGACCAATAAGTATATAAAAAGATGCTCAAAGCTTTAGCTATTTGTTATGGCTTGTGTTTAGACATCCATTCCCCCAAAGCTTCATGTGGTCATACATGGCATGGATCTAGAGTGTGTCATCCATTCCCCCAAAGCTTCATGTGGTCATACATGGCATGGATCTAGAGTGTGTGATGCTGGAATTGATTCATGGTGCAATGCTAAGATCAAGGGCACTCGGATAAAGGGTGTAAGTGCTACCTATCCGAAGTAGCCTGGATAAGATATAAGAGATACAGCTGTGGTTGCTTCTTGCTTGTTTTGCTACCTTGTGCCCACCATGAACTGTTTTTCCACTGGGATTCCTATCTTTCACCCTACCTTGGAGATCGTTTTAGCTATTATCTGCTTCCCAGTGCTGTTACTTTGCCTTAGTATATTTTGGTATTTATCTACCTCTTCAAACTACTAATTTTAATAGGATTGGATCCAGCTGCTTCTGTGTTAGGCAACTCTTTCTCATCCCTGGTGGCAGCTGGCAGTAGCTGGTCACTAGAACGCACAAGTGTGTGCCAGCTCGCTTTCTCTTTCCCCCATCCTGCTCATGCTTGGACCCTCTCAGGACAGAGGATCTGTGAGTGAGGGGATGGAGATGCCAGGGGCAGAGCCAGGTGATAGCCAGACAGAATCTGAAGGTGGCAGGGATGAAAGGGGTTTTGGTGAACTCCAAAGAGGAGATGGGAAGTTGAGGGAAGACAGAAGTTTTTGAGGAGAATTTCCAAAGTAAAGGGCTCTATAAGAAGGAGAGGAGCGTGAATGGAAAGTGTCTGTGGAGTCGGACCATGGTGTCTAGAAGTGGGGGGGGGGACAAGATGGCCAGTGAGAGAGGTAAAGGTGTGTGCCACAGGCAGGCGGTGTGCAGCAGGCACTTTGAGCTGCCGCTACAGAGTGCTACTGAATGCAGTGGGGCCATCCCCAGCATGCTATAATCTTGAAATAAAAGCTGTACTTAAAATACTGCAGCCTAAGTTTATGTCATAATATCTGACTTTCAATGGGAATTTTAAATCTGAAGACATCATTTTACAGTGAGCTATCATTAACATTTTTATATGATGCTGAATTATTCTCTGTGGAATTTATGTTTTATATATTTTTTTCTTTTCTAAGTGGGGAAAGAACTCAACATACAGGTAAGCAAATCATAAAGAACTCCAAATAGGCAGGATCAGAAAAGAATTCCCCACAATAGAGAATAGTCAAAATCCCAGAAATGCAACACAAGGACAGAATTTTATAAAGGCATTTATGACAAAACAAAGTGGCCATATTACACCAGGAGAAGCTGGAAGCTTTCCTTTTAAAATCAGGAAAAAGACAAGGATGTCCACTATTGCTTCTTTTCAATATAATACTCAAAACCATCAGCCATAGCAATCAGGCAAGAGAAAGAAATAAAAATGTTATGTACAGGAAGTTAAGAGATCAAAGTTTCACTATTTGCAATAGCATGATTCATTATATTGGAGACCAAAATATTCCACCAAAAGACTTCTTAGAATAAATAACCAAATTCAGCACTGTAGCAGGATAGAAAATCAATACACAAAAATCAATAATATATCTGTATGCCAATAATAAACACACTGAGAAAGAAATTAGGAAAACAATACCATTCACAAAAGCATAAAAAATTAAACACTTAGGAATTAACCTAACCAAGGAAGTGAAAGATCTCTACAATGAGAACTACAGAACTCTGGAGCTACGATAATAAAAATGAAATCACCACAGTACTGGCACAAAAACAGATATGAGAAACAATAGAACAGAATAGAGGATTCAGAAACAACTTCAGGCACATTCAGACATTTGATCTTTGACAAAGGGTCCAAAAACATGCTGGAGAAGGATGGCCTCTTTAACAAATGGTGTTGGGAAAACTGGTTATCCATATGCAAAAGATTGAATTTATACCCAAGTCTTTCACCATCCACTAAAATCAAATCAAAATGAATCAAAAGCTTAGATATTAAGACAGAAACACTTAATCTGTGGAAAGATAAAATAGGTAAAGACACACACATAGGCAAGAACTTTCTGAACAGAACCCCAACTGCATAAGAAACAACATCAAAAATCAACAAATAGGATTATATCAAATTTTAAAGCTTCTGAAAAACCATAGAAACAATCAGCAGAGTAAAGAGATAACCTACAGAATGGGAAAAAAAATTTTTGCCAGCTACTCCGTGGACAAAGGACTAATACCTAGAATACATATAAAGGACTCAAAAAATTAGACCCCCCCCAAAAAAAATAAATGACCCAATTAAAAAATGGGCAATTGAAATGAATAGACACCTCTCAGAAGATGAAATACAAATAGCAAATCAATACATGAAAAAATATTCAGTAACTCTGGCCTTTAGACAAATGCAAATTAAAACAACACTGAGATTCCATCTTTCTCCATAAAGAATAGTTATCAAGAAATCAAACAATTACAAGTGCTGGCAAGGCCAAGGGAAAAAGGAATCCTTCTAACATTGCTGGTGAGAACGTAAACTAGTACAACCACTATGGAAACCAGTATGGAGATTCCTCAAAAACCTAAAATTATAGGGCCAGGGATTTGGCTCAGTGGTTCCATTGCTTGCCTCACAAGCTCAAGGGCCTGAGTTCTATCCCTGGTACCAAAAAAAAAAAAAAGCCTAAAATTATAAATTCCATTCAACTCAGCTATACCCCTTCTAAGAATCTTCCCAAAAGAGTTAAAGACATCCTATTCCAGGGACATATGCAAACTCATATTTATAGCAGAATAACTCATAACAACTAAATCTTAGAGGTAACTCATATATTCACCAACAGATGAATGGATAAAGAAAATATTACATATAAAATTAATAAATATATAATAAATGTATATAATAATATATATAAGTAAAATGTTATATAGATAATGAATTGTATAAAGGATAAATTTGAGTCATCTGTAGGAAAATGAATGCACCTTGAGACCATAATTCTTAGTGAAATAAGTCAGACACAGAAGTTTAAATATTGCATGGTTTCTCTTATATGAGAAACTCAAAGTAGAATTTAAAAATCAAAATAAAAGATAAATGAGAGGAAATAGGCAAGTAGATCTTTTGGAAAGGAAGGAGATCTAGAGATGGAGGGAAGGGAGGGACAAGGATTAAGATATGATATTGCATGTAATAATTTCCCACAATGAATGTATTCATCATATATCATAGGCATGTGCTGATAAAAATAAATTACATAAGATTATAGTTTGGCAGGGCTGGGGATTTAGCTCAGTGGTTCCACCACCTGCCTTGCAACTAACTGCAAAGATCTGAGTTCGATCCCTGGTATCCCCCCCAAAAAATTTATAGTATGGTCATGTGGTTAAAGAACCCAAAAGATACTACTTTTTCTGACCTTATATATGTCTATTCAAAGTAAAAATATTTTAGGAAAAAAAAGTACATGGAAAAATAAAACCATGCCAGCATTTATGTTGAGAAATAAATTATTTCTCTCTCTCTCTCCCTCCTTTCACCCTCTCACTCCCCCCCTCCCCCTCTCCTCCACCCCCCTCTTCTCAAATGTAGCTACAATTCTTCTCTCTCAGACACATGTGTTCAAAGTCTCAGCAAGGCGAATGAAGGGGAAACACTTACTCAGCAACGTCAGGGCCCGTCCTCTTGCTCTCCTTAACGCCAGCCATGGTCATGAACAAGCAGTTGACTATGACGGTGCAGATGATGAACATGCTGAACAAGGTGACCACAGCATTAAGGTAGACACTCTGCAGGGCGGTGTGTGACACTGGCCAGTGTGGCTCAGGCCCTTACTACTGTGGGTCCCCCGGTTGTCTCTTCCAGAGGCGCGTCTACTCTCTGACTAAGAGCACTGACTGAGGACTACTCATGCCTGTCCCTTCCCCTGGAGAGAGGCTTCTGAGTGGATGGGAACCTCCTCACCTGGAGAGCCATGCGCCCCCTTTGTACATAGCTGGCTGACACAGATGGCAAAAGTCTGAACCTTTGCTTCGAAGTTGGACAACTCTGGTTCATCCAAGCTCCAGAGCTCCTCACAGATCATGCGTAGGTGGACTTTGTTAAGATCTCAGTCTCATTTAGCTTCCCTCTGTTCTCAGAGAGCATTACTCTAGTGAGTCACTTAACTCAGAGTCCCCACCCGAGCCCATTTCTAGGGAACCCAATCTAGCTAGTTATTCATTACCATTCTCTTAATATTTTATTATCCCTATCAATCCATGTCTTTTTTACCTCCTCCTGTCTAAAATGGCCTAGTGTTTCCTGCAACACCCTTCACACATTAGAAACGCTCAGTAATTCCCATCTTTACACTTTAAAAGTGAGTCAGCGAACTCCAAGTCATGCACATTTCTGAAGAGGAATGATGCTGGGCTAGAGAAGAGGTACAGATGCTACAAAACAGAGCTTGCATGCCCTCTCCAAAAAAGGTAGTAGTTCCATACGACACTGACTCTCTGCTGAGTAAGAATACAGGCCTCGCCTTAGCCAAAGTTCAGTTTTTAAGAGAAGCTAGAAATCCGAACCATTCAGGTTAGAAGATGTTTCCAACATGTTTTAGACACGTGGGTCCAACACAATACATTTAGCCACTCAAAGGATGCACAGGATTCCAGTTTACTGCCCTGTTTAGGTATCCACTTAGATACCTTCCTCCAAGAAGCCAGCTTCAATGTTTCCAAAGCAGGCAGGGCCTCCTGCTGCCACCTCCCTACTATGGAACCCGCCTGCCGATGAGTCATCTTCTGGAGAGGAGGACCCTAGAACAGGGGCCACACTGCCTTCACGCCCAGCACTCAGCACAGAGCCTGCCACACAGCAGCAGCACTCAGCCAGTATTTGTGGAAAAAACAAGAATTTTATTCCATTCAGTAAATATGGGAACCCCTGGGACTTGCACTTTTCACTTGATCTGCACTTAACAGAAGGATATGAATGGACCAAGATCCTAATGGCTAAACTTCTGATGGGATTGAAAGGTCCGAAGATGAACAAGGCACGCTTGGCGCTGAAGCGGTAGATTGTTCTCTTCTTGTTCAACACCATAAATGTCTGCGGAAAGGCAAGCACAACAGGAATCAAGGGCAATTGCAAAATAACAATTATCATGCTTTCGTTTAGAGAAGCACAGGTTCAGTCCTGGATTGGCTTATGCTGAGAACTGCAGCTCCTGGTTGTGGAATTGTCATTCTGAAGCCTAGAGACTTTCTGAGCAGCTACCCAGTGACTCTGGAGCCCAGAGGCTCCCACCACCACCACCTCCACCACCACCCCCATGACCTGTGTCTCATGATAAGTGTGGAACATGAGCTATTCATCTGCTGGGAAACTATGGAGAACTTGGGCCTGAAAATACAGAAAGGAGGGTATGGAGTAATAACTAGGACAAACAAAGCCCTTAGTATTGAACTTCATGCTATGTATTTGGCGAGGACTAGGAGAGAATTTAAAGAGGTGGAAACTGGGTTTGGATATTCACATTAGTTGATTATTATAAACTACTATTATTAATGATAAAGCATTATAGGGAGTCTTAAGATTTGAAGGGAGTAGGAGAGCCCACATAGCTGTGCTACAGCTCTCAGCAGTTCTGTGTAATGTAACCGATTTATATTCTAACCTTTAATATCTTCCAGAAAAAAAAAATCACCAAGGTTCTCTTACTTGCTCTCCCATCCTGCCCACCCCCCATACAAATAAGAGCAAATCTGCATTTACAGTGTTTAACTAGGGAAGAGGTGAGTGCTGCCCTTACAGAAAGCATTTGGAAATATGTGGGTGTTTTTGACTGTCTGCCACTATGCCTGAGTGCTCTCCTGGCCTCTGGTGGGTAGGTCCAGGGATGCCAAATACAGGACAGGGCTGCCAAATCATGCATTGTCCTACTCAAAGTTACCAGTTGGGCCCTGTTGAAAAAATACCAAGCCTGTGCTCATTTCTGCCCAGCATGTGTTCCAGAGCTCTGAGAATGAAGCAACTCCTGGACAGCAACCTATCACTCATGGACTCTAATATCAACCCCCAGGCTTCCTTCTTTTCCCCATTTTTCTGTAATCTAGCTGTCCTCTTACCTGTTCCCAAGGTTGACCGTTACAAAAGCCTTCACAAGGTGAAGGTCATTCCTGTTTTCCCATCTCATTGTTCCTTTCACACTTATAAACTAGTACTTGAGCATGTAGCTCAGCATGTTCTCAAAGAGGAAGAACAGAACTTGGCAAGCCTAAAAGTATTTGGGCAACTGCTGTCCTGACTCCGGTACCAGAACAGCAGCCACTGTCAACCGTCAACCTTCCTTTAGTGAGTTGCTGGGATACACTGGTATGAGAGCATCTGGCTACAGGGCAAAGTGCAGGTAGGATTGTTCTCCGGGGCCTCCATAGGAAAATTAAATGGGTTACAGGGTTATTTTAATGTCATGGTTCCAAGACCCCTAGACCTGCTTGAGGGTCTCTCTCTTTGGTCACCCTAGAAAATAGGTAGAATGACATATCTCTGCTTCTGTACCTATTCATTTTGCTATTTTATTGATATAACTTCTGCTTTAATATTTTAACTAATGATATATTTATACTTGTCAGGACTTTCATGATTAGAATGACATGTACCTATTTGTTGACCCCTCTTTACCCTTTCCTCTGTAGCTGTTTAAAATGGGAGCCTCTAAAGGGAAAATCTGGCCCAGGACCACAGAAAGAGCCCTTGAGATTGAGCCCCAGACTCACTGCACACTGATGTGGTGTAAGCACCTCTCCAGGTAGGCTGTGAGGTGGGGTGTTGATGACGCCCACACAACTGTTGAGGGTGCCAGCCACAGAAGATCATGAGTGTGCCGAGCTCAAATCAAGTATTATTTCTTCTGATTAAAAGGGAGGACCCAGGCTGAGTAGGTGTCATACAAGAGCCACCCGGGCAGGAACAGTCTGTGCTTCTGGGACTGTCTGAAGCAGCCAGGCACTACCTGTACCATGGATCCCCTGTCCAGCACCAAGGTACAAAGAAGCTGCTCCCAGTCAACTCAGTGCCAACAACCATGCCAACAAGAAGCCTCTGGAATAGGCCAGGCGTGGTGGTGCACGCGTGTAATCCCAGCACTCGGGAGGCTGAGGCAGGAGGATCGCTATGAGTTCGAGACCAGCCTGGGCTACATAGCGAGTTCCAGGTCAGTCTCAACTACATAGTGAGACCCTGTCTCAAAAAAACAAAACAAACAAACAAGCAACAACAACAACAAAAAAAACAAAAAAGAAGCCTCTGGAGTTCCGGGACATACGGGAAGGAGATATACTAAAATACTTTCTCTCCCTTGTCTATTCACTCCTCTCTACACTCAGTCCCCACTGTGTCCAGTTTCAAGGACATGCACACCAGGCACCCTTTCTCTGAGGAGTCAGTTTTTCATGGGTGCCAGCAAAAGATGCTCTCGGCATCTCATATTTTCTGGGACTCTTCCAAGCTCCTAGCCCTTTCCCTCTCACCCCGGTCTGATAAGGTAGGCTTTCCATCCTAGCTGGATCACACAGTGAAGCAGCAACAAGGTTCGCAGAGCCTTTTTAAATGAGAACAGTTTGCAGAAAACTGGTCTCACAGCCCCAAGCTGTCTGGGAACCAGCAGAGGAGCCCAGAACACATTTTTTTTTTCATTCTAGAGCCCTTTAAGGAACTTTTACTGGAATTTCCTGCAAAATTTGTATTTAGATAGATAAAGCAGCAGAGTTTGCATATTTTTCAGTGTGATTTACATGTAATCTGCATGTGCCATTGGTTAACATTTTGTTAGATTTCATTTCTTAAGCTCCTATTATACAGCAAATGTTGGTTTGATTTTCATTAATCTCATTTAATGGCCTAGAATGCCTACTGTCCAAAGTTTTTTGAGGTAAAATTTTATTGCTGATATGAGCATTCCTTGACAATGACGTTCATTCCAGAATGGTGACTTATGAAGACTTCCACTTCATGCCTACGTGATGGGGTAGGAAAAATCAGGCATCATTCCCATTTTACAGATTAGGAAAGTGAAGATCTGTAATGGTTTAGCCAGTCACTTGGAATGACCTACACCTCACTTCTCTGACTACAGCCCTCTTCTCTGATACTACTTGGTCTCTTCTCTATTCTTCTTTGCCGGGGGATAGTTCACTTTTTGAGACAGAGTCTCACTTTGTAGCCCAGGCTGGTCTTGAATTCATGGCAATCCTGCCTCAGCCTCCTGAGTGCTAGGATTACAGAGGTGTGCACCACCCAGCTCTCTCTATTCCTTTTACCTTTTTACTGCCTTTGTCCTTCTCTTCTCCCTCAATACATGCATTAGAAAGAGAAAATGGGGACTGAAAGGGTGTTTGGAGACTAAGAAGACAATGACATCGGAGAGGCACAGCCTGCTTTCTATAAACCTGATAGTTGGTGTTTGGAGAACCTGTAAGATGAATTATAACTGAACGCAAGCCGGCATCCCCACAAAATTACCTTGTGGTTTCTGTAGAATGGGTCCAAGTCTTCCAGGGGCTTTGCTACTAGATCACGGGGAATGTTGCCATAGAGTTTGGGCAACTTCCTGGAGACCTTTAGGTCAAGCTGAGGTCGAGGTGGGGGTTCAGATGCTGTCTTGTCTTTGGACTTCTTTTTCTCCTTTTGGATGGCAATCCGCTTCTCTATTGCAGCCAGGGAGTCTGAGGTGAAGGGACGGAAATTTCGCTCATCTGGGAAGATCACTGGGTAGCACCTGTCAGCCATCTTCAACCTTGAGACACAGACAAGCCACAGGTCCTCAGACTGCTCTGAGGAGGTGGAAACGATGCACCCCTCCTCCACATCACTCCCAACAGATGGTGTTATGGGAAACTACAAGGGTTGAAGCTGAGGTTAGAGGGCTTGGGTGTTGACTGGATATGGTGTGAATCAGAAGTGACCACCACTGTGGGCACAGCAGAAGCTCTGGACACATACAAGAACAAAGAAGATGTCATTCCCAGAGGACCTGGGACAGTGAAGAACCTGGGACAGTTAGGAAGCTGAATTCAGAAACAAGTGAGCAGGGCCAGGGCTTTAGCTCAATGGTTCTACTGCCTGCCTCACAAATGCAAGGACCTGAGTTCGATCCCTGGTACTTAAAAAAAAAAGAAAGAAAGGAAAAAGTGAGCAGAAGAAGCTGAGTCTGTAAGACTGAGAGCCGAGCATAGAACAAGGCAATAAGGCTGAACAGTGAGCCTGCCAAGGTAGACAGGTGGCCAGCACAGTGCCAACAGGAGGAGAAAGTACAGGTTGGCACAGCCATGGGTTACAAAGGAAAACTATACATGCATGCATCTTTTTCATATTTGTTAATAAAGTTCTTGAAATGTGCTAGAATGAAAACAAAAGAGCCATAAACAAAGGCATGAACATTGATGCTAATACTTATAATCCTATACCAGCTCTTTTATTTCTGGAAGCCAGACCCTCAAAAAGTGAGGCTGCAGGAGAGCAGAAATAATTTCTTAAAGCTATGATAGTCCCTCTGTCATAGGACAATAGCTTCTGCTGGGACTCTATCCCTCCAGGTATAGAGTAGCCCCTAAATATAAGAGAAGGGAAAAATGGAAGCAAAGTCTCTGTAAATAGGGAGGATGGAGGGGGAGAAGGGAGGGCAGGGGTATGAGGAAAAATAAGAACCAAGATACATCATGTAAAGGTACAAATCCCCATGATGAATGTAACTGTATTGTATACCTAAAAAGCACCAATAAACTCAATGAAAAATAAATAAAGTAGCCCCTGGGAATGTCCTTATTTCCTCATAGCCTTTTATTTTTTTCTTTTGAGACAGAGTCCTGCTATGTAGTTCAGGCCAGCCTTGAACTCACTAGGTAGCCCAGGCTGGCCTCAAACTCATGGTGATCCTCCTCCCTTTGCCTGAGAGTTCTGGGATTACCACGCCCAGCTCCTCTTCCTTTCTTATTCGCTAAATGGATTGGTTGTCATATCATTCCAGGGAATTAGTGATGATCCCAACATACCACTGGTTTTTTGCATGGTCTAGGCATGGTATTAGGCACTGATAGTGAAAAGACCACAGTTTCTGTATTCCTAGCTCTGGAGTTATGCTGTCCTGGTGTAGTAGAGGAAACAGACAGGCACAGCAAATTAAGCAGTACTGTGTCTGTGTATAAAATAGGTGTGTAGTCAGTTTGGGGGAATCAAGAATGGTGTCCCAAAGCTTTAATACCCTGAGACCTGAAGGGCACATCAGATTTGGAAAACAGAGCCACAACCAAAGCAAACAAACAGAAAAACACAGCACATTAGGGTGTTGCAGGGAGCAGTATGCACAGGGACCCACAGGTAAAAAAGAACAAAATGTCCAGCAACCAGTTATTTGTTGTTGTTGTTGTTGTTTGTTTTTGTTTGTGAGGCAGGATCTCACTATGTAGTTTAGGCTGCTCTTGAACTCTCTATGTAACGCAGGCTGGCCTCAAACTCATGGTGATCCTTCTGCCTCAGCCCGAGTGCTGGGGTTACAGGCGTGAGCCACCATGCCTAGCTCAGTAACCAGCTCTATTTACCAGGAATGGAAATATCATGGAATGGAATAGCCAGATAAGGCTGTGGTCAACAGAGAGAAAAGGTATATGTTCAGGCCTTTAATCTCTGTGAAGATCAGTGGAAAATCACCAGAGGATTGGGTTTTCATTGTCACTATCACAGGGAACAGTACTACCAGCTTTTTAAAATTCCTCTACCTGGTAGACATTGACAGGGTGACACAAGGGGTGGGAGGTTGGAATCCAAGAAATGAGTTTGGAAACTGTGGCAACAAAGAAAATCACAGAGGGTGACCTAATGGGATGGAGTTGTGAGATAATAAGAGCAAGGGAGAGATTTGAGAAAGGAGCCCTACTAAGGCTCCTGGCTTGCGCAGCAAAATTGGCTCACTGAAATAGAAAGTGTTAGGAAAGGAGAAAGCTTTGGGGAAAGAAATTCAGTTTAAAAGAGTCAAGGCTGCTTGGGAGACCTGTAAATGGAGAGATCCAGGAAGCACCTGCAAACAGATAAATTATAGTCTATATGCATTCAATGCCAAAAAGTAACACAAAAGAAAAAAATGCAGTCAAAGCTTCTCTTCAAAATACATTAGGAAAGAATAATTGAGAGGAAACCTGGCACACACTGCTCAGCCAGCCTTTCTTCCAGTGCCAGAATTAGTGATTCTCCACTCAACCCCAAACAAGGTAGGTGGGCTGCATTTAAGGGCCATCGTAGGGGCAGTGCATGTCTTTAAACACATGAGGTTTAGGGCAATGCGATGTTAACACTGTTGGAGCCATAAGCCAAATGAAGTCAAACAGGGAACTGTACATTCACTACATTGTATCCCATTTAGGGTCAAACTCATTAATGATGAGCCTGGATGATGAGCTCACCCATACTGTTTAAATAATTTTTTTCTACTCCCACCCCACTTTTTTTTACACCTGATCTTAGCCAAAAGGCTGAGAAGCGATCTCTCTCCAGCTCTTTTAAAAGTTTTTATGCTGAGACAAGGTCTCACTAAGTCGCTAAATTGCCCAGCCCCCACCCCACCCCGTACCAGGGATCAAACTTGGGTCCTTGTGCTTGCAAGGCAGTCAGTGGAACCACTGAACTAAATCCCTGGCCCTTTGCCCAGGCTTTTTGAAGAATCGCCACACTAATTTCCACAGTGGTTGCACCAATCTGTACTCTCACCAGCAGTAGAGAAGGGCTCCTTATTCCTCACAGCCCCTCCAGCATTTGTTACTGGCTGATTTCTTGATAGTGGCCATTCTTTCTAGAGTGAAATGGAATCTCACTGTTTAATTTGTACCCCTCCTATGACCAGAGATGCTGAATATTTTTTTCATTTATTTATTTGCCATTTCTACTTCTTCCTCTAAGAAATATGTATTCATTTTAGGTGCCCATTTTTGGATTGGGTCTTTAAATTTAGGAGGTCTGATTTTTTAGCTCTTTATATATTCTAGATATTAGTCCTTTGAGGAATAGCTGGAAAAAAAATTTCCTACTCTGTGTGTTGTCTCTTCACTCTCTTGGTGATTTCTTTTGCTGTGCAAAAGCTTTCTAGTAAGATGAAACCCAAGTTGTTGATTCTTTGTGATATTTCTTGTGTAATCAGGGTTTTATTCATGAAGTCTTTGCCTAAACCAATATCTTCAAGCATGTATCTATTCTATCTTCCAGCAGTTAGTGTTTCTGCTTTAATATTTGGATGTTTAATTCATTTCAATTTTAGTTTAGTGCATGGTAAAGATATGGGTCTAGTTTTAATCTTTGGCACATGGAAAGCCAGTTTTTCTAGCACCATTTATTAAAGAGGCTTTCTTCCACTGAAGGTTTTTGGCTCCTTTGTCAAAGATGAGGCAGACGAATATGTTTAGAGTTGTTTCTGCATTTTCTAATCTGTTCTATTGATCCTCAAGTCTGTTTTTTTGCCAGTAGCATGCTGTTTTTGTTGATAGTATAATTTCAAGATAGGGATTGTGGTGCCCCCTGCCTTGCTTTTGCTTCCTAGAATTGATTTTGCTATTCTAGGCTGCTTCTGAATCGAAATGAACTTTAGAATTGTCTCTAATTCTGTGAGATAGGCTATCGGTATTTTGATCAGGATTTCATTAAATTTGTATAACAATTTTGGAAATGTGGCCATTTTCACTATATTGGTTTGTCCTATCCAAGAATAAGGCATATCTTTGCATTTTCTGATATCCTTTTGAATCTCCTTTTTCAGAGTACTGAAGTTTTCAATGCAAAGTTCTTTTACTTCCTTCATTAAACTGCTTCCTAGGTATTTCTTTTAATTTCTATTTATTTATTTATTTAAATATTGTGTTATTGTAAAAGGTGCTGTTTCCCTAATTTCTCTCTCAGTGTGTTTATTATTTATGTACAGGAAGGCTATTGAGTTTTGAGTGCTGATTTTGTGTCCATCTACATGACTTAATTTGGTTATTAAATCTAGAAGCCTTTTGGTGGAGTCTTGGGGGTCATCTGTGTAGTGTATTGTGTCCTCTGCAAATAATGACAGTTAAACTTCTTCCTTTCCTATCCTTACTCCTTTTATTTCTTTCTCTTGTCAATTTGCTCTGGCTAGTGTTTCCAGAACTATATTGAACAGGAATGGGGACATCTTTGTCTTGTTCCTGATTTTAGTGTGAAAGCTTTTGGTTTTTGACCAGGTAGTATTATGTTGGCTGTTAGTTTATCATAGATGACTTTTATCACAATGAGGTAAAGATCACCTATTCCAATTTTCTGTAGGGTTTTTATTATGAATAATGTTGGAGTTTGTCAAACAGTTTTTCAGTATCTATCAAGATGATCATATGGTTTTTGTGCTTGGCTCTATTAATATGGTATATTGTTATTGATTTTCATATTTTGAACCATCCCTACAGACTTGGGATGAATCCTACTTGGTTATGGTATATAAAACCAGTGTTCTGATTCCTCAAAAATCTAAATCTAGAGGTTTCTTTTGACCCAGCTATTCTCCTTATTTCCTTAATTAAAAACATCATACTATAGCAATATATGCACACCCATTTTTTTAATTGAATTTATTGGTACATTCTAGGTAGACAGTACAGTTACATTCATTATTGGGATCTTGTACCTTTACGTGCTGCACACCCATTTTTTTAATTGAATTTATTGGTACATTCTAGGTAGACAGTACAGTTACATTCATTATTGGGATCTTGTACCTTTACGTGCTGCACACCCATTTTTTTATAGTAGCATAGTGTGTAATAGCTAAGTCTTGGAAACAGCCCAAATGCCCATCAGCTGATGAATGGATAAAGATGTGATATTTTTATGCAATAAAGACGGATACAGTTGAGTTGTTTCTAGCTAAATGGATGGACCTTGAGGCCACACTCTGAAGCGATATAAATTGAACACACATGTAAATATCACATAGTTTCTGAAACTGAAAATACAAATAAGGACCAAGATACATAATACATATTTCAAATAGGAAGACAATGTTCAAACCAGAAGGGGAACAAATGAATAGAGAGGGAAAAAGGAAAGAAGGGACAAGAAAAAAATGGAAAGAATAAATGGAAATAAGGCTTTTGCAGATAAAGAGGGGAAGGGTTGAAAGGAGGAGAGGGGAATGGGGAAATAAAGAACAATGATATATCATGTAGCACAGGTACAAGTGTATATAATGATAGATAGATAGATACTGTACCAGTAAGGACAAAAAAAAAGAGACTGAAGGCTAAAATAATAAAAGGCAGTAAAATAAAACTTTCAACTGAGAAAAAAAAACTGTCCAAGCTTGGCTTGAAGATCCCTTCTCACCACCCTAGAGTGCTGGGGTTACAAGCCTGTACCACCATGGCCACCTGAAAAAAATAATTTAAGTATTTGCTTGCAAACAACAAAAAAAGAATCTAAAAAAGCAGGACGCATGGAATCCATGGCATAGTGTACTTAACCCAAGAGCAAAATGAAAAATTTCCGAGGGCCAAGGACTCCACCTCTATGGGTTAAAAAAAAAAAAAGAATTCAAAGTCAGAGAACTCTGAGAAAAATTCTTAAAATATAAAGAAAATTCTGTGTAACAATGAATACTAAGAAATTTTTTCAATGTGTAAAAACAACAGTAATTAGAAAATTCATCAAAAAAAATTTTAAGAGCCACATGTAAATATGAAGTCAACTAAAAGATTTGAGCATGGATAGAACACAAGACTAGAAAAAAAATGAGTCCATTTGACCTTAAAACTTGCATTTTCCTTGGCCTCACAGATCAGAGTCTGTCCCCTTTACTATGAGTCTAAATATCAGATTTAATTTTGGAAAATAGTAGCTGTGAAATCATTATATGATAAAGTTTATCTACTACATTTTAATTTTATTTTGATAATCATCTTATAGATAAAGCAGAATTTATTATAATTACTGAGTATAATGCAAATGTTATAAATATTATTTTCTTGCTACCCAGAGTGGAGAGAAAGGGTGGAGAGAAGCTCAAGCTGTCATTGTTTTCATCTTAACCCTGAAGAGTCAAGACAGCCTATGGCAGGTCAATCAATCAGGTAATATGAACATGTTTAGCCTTAAAAGTATACAGATAAGGATTTAGCTCAGTGGTTCCACCACTTGCCTTGCAAGCACACAGTCCTGAGTTCAATTCCTGGTACCAAAAAAAAAGTATACAGATAATCAAGTGCAAAACTACATTTAAAATACAAGTAACCTGGAAAAATGAATCTAAAACAAATCTAGTAGAGTCTCAGTTTATGCCCACTTCATCTATACAAGAGGAAAGCAAAAGGATCACCTTCAGCAAGCTAAATTCTTCATCTCACCCAGGCACAATTCCACAACTACTACTTTAATTTGATAAATCAATAAATAGCACTGTAAGTAAATTTAGAACTAGAGAGACAATGACCAGAAGAATTAAAAACTGAATTGATTAAAAGTATAGCTAGGTATAAAGATAAAGTTACTATATTTTTAATATAATTTTCCTCCCAAATATTTCCCTGCTCTGAACTATTTGAATTATGTGTGTATGTTATTTTTCTTATATTATAAAAGTATTGTAAAAATCCTTCAGGGACTCAAAATACTTTCTGATTCAAAAGAAGAGAGTCAAATAAAAAGTATGCTGACCGGGTCTAAATTCCCTTGAGTCACACAGGAAGCAGACACAACTGGAGCTTGCAGTCATTGCCCAGGAGGCCAGCCACATGTGAACTGAGACCTGACATGGGAAAGTCACGGAGACCTGGAGAGCCATGAGCAGGCTCCACAAAACCTTCCTGTGGTGAGGGTCAGGTCTGCAATGAGAGGCTTGGAGCTGCTGTCAGAGGGCTCTGTTCCTGCTCCTCCGAGAACTTGCCCCTTCCCAGCAGGGTGCACAGGCCCAGTCCCTTGGGACAGACAGACAACAGGTACAGGTACCTAGGAAAGACGACCAGGCCCTCACTTCCCTAGAGACCTTGTGGTCCTCAGATGTTCACTCACAGTCCATTCTGTCCTGCACTGGGTGATGCGGATGCAAAGTAATCTAAACACCAACACAGCTCTCCAGACTCTTCATTTCTCCAGGAACCAGGTAAGTAAGTGACGGAGGATGAAACCACAGGCCCATGGCTACACCAGGGACAAGAAGCACTGGGTGCGGTGTGGGCCCTGAGAAGGGCGTGGTTCTGAAGAGTCACTTTGGTGGGAGGAAAGAGGAAGGTGCCCCAGACAATGGAAAAACACAGAATGAAAGCACAGTGGCAACCACAGGGCTTTGGATTCTCACTTATGAATTTCATACAAGTTATGTAAACTCATTGTGCTGGACATCTTCAGTGTGTGCCCAACTCTCTCTCCAGCCCTCTCTGCTCTACTCAGTGCCTGTGTGCAGACCCATGTGGAACCCATCATGGGGTCCTTTGCACTCCTGTTTCTGGTTGAGTTTGATCAGTAGTCAGCAACCACAACGGATCCAGAGAATAGTGGAGAGTGAGGCCAGGAATTGTGTCCTTACCTCTCTTCCCAATGGTGCCCTGAGCCACAGCTCCCAGGAGGTGGCCACACACATGACTCATATTCTCTCTCTTTCTCTGGCCCCACAGCACCTGCCTTCCCTCGTCCCTTCTGATGCAAGGTGCCATACCCCCCTCAAGAGGCTGAAAATTCACCATTGCTTGTTTCAATCACTAAGATCCACCCACACCTTTTTACAAAGTCCCTTTAATAAAATATCCTCAAAATGCCAAACTTGAATGTGTCAACTCTTTCCTGCCAGGCCTCTGGGTAATTGAGCCATCCATTAAATAAAATTTAGGAAATAATCACCCACAAGCCACAACCGCCTAATACATGCAAGTTTGAACATTTTGGTGTATTCCTTTTCAGTAGGCTTTTTGTGCATATATTAATTACACTGCTGTCATGGTCATGTTTATACAATTGTATGTGGTAATCATTTTCTGTAAACCTATATCACAAACATTTTAACAATAACAGCTACCATTTAATATTGCCTACCATGGTCCAGGTAAAATTTGAGGTTTGTTAATATATATTACTTCATTTAATCCTCAAAACAGTCTCATGAGATAAATATTACCCTTGGGGTCTTCTTTCAAGATGTTGGTCTAAAACAAAAGTGAGTTTAAGGGCCCGGGATTTAGCTCAGTGGTTCTGGCAACTGCTTTGAACCTGAGTTCAATCCCTGGTACCAAAAAAACAAAAAACAAAAACAAACAGAAAAGTGAGTTGTGGCCTCCTATTAAATGGCAGGAGTTTTAACTTGTATGTACTTCCCTTTACTAGTGTAGTTCTCTAATTTTCTCCCCAGGAAACTGTATGCCCAGACTCTCATACTTTACCCTAAACACCAAAGGAAATCACTAGGGAAGTCACAAAAGGCTCACAACCACCTACTCAGAACATTTCAGCCTAGATCCAGTCCATAATAGGACCTGGAATGTCACAGGTTTACACTGTGGTAAGATAAGAGTTATGAACTAAATAAACATTGTGTCGATGCTCTAAATGTGTCTTTTCTAATAATTTCCCAAAAGATCTATAAGGTGGGCATTATTATATCATCCCAATTTTATAAAAGAAGATATTAAGGAGTTAGAGAAATTGAGAGACTTGCCCAAAATCATATGAACAAGTGTCAGAGAATCTCAAACTGGCCTTCACGCAACCCCACCTGCTTGCTTAGTTCTTTACCTTTAAAGCTGAAACATCACCAAGCAGATGGAAAAGGGACTCAGGAGAAAACCACACAGCCTCCAGCAGGGAGAGCTAGGTCTATGGCACCCTCACTGTGTGTGATGTGCCTCCCGGGACACTGGCCACTGCCACCGCCTTTCACATGTCAGATCCAGGCATCCCAATGGCCCCACCGTGAAACCCCAGCCCACTCCCTGAGGCAAACAGCCTCCACATGCCCTTAGGGTGGGAGCTTGAACAAATCCCTCACCTTGGTGACATATATAAGCTATGTTCACTAACATGGATTATAAAAAAAAAGGCAAAAGAACAACAAAAGATACCTATTTCCCCTTTCATAGATCCATAAGAAAATAAAAAAGCAAATGAACATGAACAGACTTTCACGTAACTGACCTCAATCCAAGCCAATTTAAGATTGGTTTTCTAACTCTTCAATAAAGAAACCATTTTCACCAATTTCTGATTAATTTTTCACAATGAATTCAGAAACTATTTGGAGGATTTGCACCATAACCTCAGATGGAGACAAATTTGAGGCCATCTCTAGAAAAGGCTAAATGCTGACACAAAGTCGAGGGTTGCAGGCTCCCATCAGAGAACCAGCCATTCCCTGTCTTGTGTCCGCTCTCAGAAGACCTGCCAGCTAGAACCCATGACCTGGACTGTGGATCTCACACCTGGCCTCTGCCTTTGATTTGAGAGGAAAGTTTGCTAAAGGCCTGTTCTTCACCCTGATGCAAAAACAAAACAAAAAAAACAGGTTCCATAGTGGCAGGTCTCAGGCCTAAAAGAATAGAACAGGCTGGATGCCTCCAGCCCAGAAAACTTACCTGCCTTCTTGAGGAGGTTGCCAGGTAGCTGCTACCCTTCTAAGCTTTCCACAGAGCAAAGCTCTCACCAGAGTCTATGCTCCTGGGAGGAGCAGCTCCAAATGGCTGGGAGGAGCAGCTCCAAAGCTGTGTAGAGGAAGGCAAATGGGAAGACAGCCAAAGTGATTTTAAAGAACCATGTAGGAAACCCTGTAACCAGAGAAGTGACTGAGAGGGTACTTACATTTATACTTTAGAAGCATCTGCCTTTAATCAGTGCTTAATCTAGCTCTGCAGAAAGCTTCATTAATAAAGAAACAGGTTGTTGTTTTTCTTTGGCCTCATCCAAGTGGGTGAGGGAATACAGAAAATTCTATCGGAACAGCCATCCTCTGTTTCTGCACTCAGTTTAACCTGCAACCACCTAACCTAGGAGTACTGGGGTCTTGCCCCAAAGGACCCACCAAGGCTGACTGATAAACTTGAAACTGTTCAGCAGGCATTCAACATCTCTTCCTTTTTTCCTCTCTGCGCCACCAACCCTGGTAGCTAAACCTGGGAATACCGTGTGTTTGCTTATGTGGTAGCCACAGAGGTGCCAAGAAGACCTCTTTGACCACCAAAGCAACTCCATGATGAACCCACCACCAACCCAGAATTTTTCCACACAGGCTTCTGCAGTTTCTAATTCCTAGAGAAAAGTGAGATCTGCCTGAGAAGCAATTCACCATGAACTGTTGTCAGCTATGGTCATCTTCCTGAGACCAGCTAATGGCCAAATGAGACAAGGGTTAGAGGGAGGGAGGAGACAGAAGTTGGTGCTTGGAGGAGACACAGGCAGCCTTCAGTCCTGACAGAATGGCACTGAAGACTCCGCCACTCTAAATCTCAATGTACTAGACATATCACTTAATTTCCCTGAGCCTCAGTCTTCTCCCTGTAAAATGGGTTGATTCTTTCAAGCCTTCTTACCATGAGGGAGCAAATGAGATGATGACTATGAAAACACTTGGTGAACACTATATAGAAATACCCATTGATTTTTAAGAGGCAAAATACCTGGTTGCTTTTCTCACCCTACTACACCTAAAACATCTCACTCCCGTGGAGAAGAATTAAAACCACAGATACAGGATTAGCCTGTATCCTGGCATGGTGTACACAGCCTGGCTTTTCAAAGCAAGAATCAGAATTCTAAGCTTTCGTCTGATTTCAGGATAACTCTTGGAACAAGAGAAGACCAGAGAGTGAGAGAAGTGCTTCAAGTTAGTAAGCATTTTTACATATGTGCACTTGAAGAGGTACTAGGCCTCTAAATCCATTATCTTGAAAGGTTCTGGTGTTTTTAATATCAACTCTTTGCAAATATTATTTTTCTAAGCTATTAAGTTCCACTCAGGCTTACAGAAGTTTCAGAGAATCTAGCTCCCTCTTCAGCTGATGATTTCAAGGGTAAGGACTTAAGCAATAGAGTAATACACAAATACAGGCCACCTGAGCAATCTGGCATCTGCCTTTAGGACCTCCCTCAACCTCCTCTGGCCTGTGGGAAATGCAAACTTTATCAGCACCTTCGTGGCATCCATCCTACATCAGGCAAGTCTGGGTTGCCCCACACCTGCGTGTCGCCTCCTCCAGGTATTGGCAGGCACTGAGGACCTGTCGGTCTCCTTCCCGCCATCCGATAAGCAAGCCTGTGCCGGGGTTAGCGTCCAGGTGAGGCACATCAGCTCGGGCAGCAGCCGTGCCTCCCATCCCTTCCTCTGGCAAAGGTGACCATGAGCAACAAGGAAGGTCCTGAAAAACATAAAAAGGTATTCCTTTGCGCATGCAGTCTGCTCCACGAGGAAAAAACAAGAGCACAAAAACCTATCAAACAAGCGAGAGACCATCAAGGAACTGCAAGCCATGCATGCAGAGGCCTTCGCGGTATGGAACAGGAAGCAACTCATTCTGGGAAGGCTTCTAACAAGAAGTGAGGTTCGAGCTGAGGCTTACAGGATGAGCAAGAACACAAGGTAGATAAGTAGGGCTGAGCTTTCCAGGAAAACATCCAGGCTCAGGAGCTCAGGGAACATGCAAACAACCTCAAGTGGCTCCACAAGGGTGACTATGGCATGGGGAAGGCTAAGAAGCTGAGGATACGTGGAAGGGACACTCTTCACAGCCTGCAGTACCTCTTCGATACACTAAAAAGTTTGAATTTGAATTTGTATTGAGTCCCACGAGGGACATGGCACTGGCACCACCTTAAGGGCCAGGTTACCTTATGCATAACAACCAAGTCTTCCAGGCCTCTAAGCGGCACCATGCTGGAACCTCGCTGATGATAAACCATCCAAGCCAACTGGCAGGTGGTGACAGGGAATTCTGAGGTCAGAGGTGTGCCACAGCAGAAGGGATGGGCACCCACAGGGAGCAGCCCACGGAGAACTCACTGTGACTGCTTCTGTGGACAGAGTTGAGGGCGGTGCAGAATTTATCTCCTAGGAAGTACTTGCTGTCAGGTGCTAACAAAGATTCCTAGACAGCTCTTTGTAAAAAGCATGCTCATTAAGGACAGAGTCTCGTGGTCTTGTTCAGTGCTTAAAGCTGTCCATATTGTCTCACAGGGGCCTTGTAATTACTGTGAATGAATAAGCCCTTCGCTGTCCTTCCTGAAGCCCAGCCTCGGCTCCCGAGTACCAGAGGTCTGGTCCTCCCTTGTAAGGTCTCGTTCCTCACTCCCTTCTTTCATCTCCAGCCGACTTCACCTAGTACAAGCCCTCTCGCCTCTCACCTGGACCAGCATGACAGCCTTCCAGAAGGACAGTCTGCTGCACTGTCCCACACACTGACTGCCCCTGCCTCGGCCACATCTGGTCAAAAGAAACGTAAATTGTCAGTGGTAATGTAAACCAGTCCACTACTATGGAAGTAAGCATGGAGATTCCTCAAAAAACTGAAATTCCATTCAACCTCACTGTTCCTCTTCTAGGTATCTTCATGAAAGAGTTACACCCATATTCATAGCAGCACAAATCATAATAGTAAATCTTGGAAGCAGCCTATATGTCCATCAACAGATAAATGGGTAAAGAAAATGTGATATTTATACACAATGAAGTACTACTCTGCCCTGAAAGACAAATTTAGTAGGATTTGTGGGGAAAATTGGTACACCCTGAGACCATAATGTTAAATGAATCAAACACACAAGCTTAAGTATTACATGGTTTCTCCTATATGAAAAACCCAAAATACAAATAAATACCAAAATAAAAAACAAGTAGTAGGAATGGGGAGATAGATCTTTTGCAAAAGGCAAGGGAAACCAGAGATGAAGGGAGGGGAAGGAGATTAAAAATGAAGCCGGGCGTGGTGGCACACGCCTGTAATCCCAGCATTTGGGAGGCTGAGGCAGGAGGATTGCTGTGAGTTCGAGATCAGCCTGGGCTACATAGCAAGTTCCAGGTCAGTCTCAACTACATAATAATAATAATAATAATAATAAATAAAAACAAATAGTTGAGATATGTTATGTACATGTACCAACTCCCCACAAGGAGTATAATTATTATGTACTGCAAATGTGTACCAATAAAAATAAGAATTGAAAAATAAATAAATGTAAATGCCTGTGATGAGTTAGTGTCTACATATGCGGTCACCCAGTAGTGACCACGTTTCTACACTGCACACAGATAAAAACACACGTACTCTGTACTCTGTGCCCACAACAATACCACACCAGAACTCCAGCAAGTCCCAGCTGCAATTGTGCTGCTGATTTACCTCTGCAGTAGAGAACACAGAACATGTGGGTGGAGGGAAGCGGGGAACCAGGCACGCAGACAGGCATGCTGCCAGCCCGAGGCTGGGTAAATGGCCAAGTCTATATGGAAAGCTCAATGAGGGGACTGGCTGGAAGTCAAAAAGGGCATAATTAACTTAGGCGTCACAATAAACTTGTTACCATGCTTAATAGGTTTCAAATATTTTCTCAATTTACCCTGGCTTTGTTCTTCTCACTCGGCCCTTAGTGAGGAGACAGGGAGAGGAAGGGTATGGGAAAGGCTTACAGCAGCAGCCCCACCAGAAAATCGGTAAAAGGGAGGAGCCAACAGGGCTACCCTTCGCACAGAAACTCAGCAGCCTTCCCTGACATCGTGCGCTGCAGGATCACTCCTCAGAGAATCCCCAGAGCAAGGGTGTCAAGCTGTAGTGACCAGAAGGACACACCTCCCCAGACTGTGAGGCCACTGTCCCCCAAGGCCCATCCTACACAGGGGTTGCAGAGCCGAGGCGGGACTGCCTTGTGACACCATACTTGCTCTGTTCAAGCTTTCTTTCTCTGTTGTTCCCTGGCTAGGTAGAAAGTGAATGCTGGTGTTTCATGCAGCAAATTTAAACACATCTAGAAATGAATGCAGCGATTCACCCTGTGCACAGGAGGAAAGAAAACATCTAATAACTGAAGTTCAAGTGAAGAAGCAGAGCGAATGGGTGCCCCCAGGAGCCCTGGAAGTCCTTCCTCCTCAGTTCCTCACTTAGTTTGGGGTTAATTGCTCAAACCAAAACCTAATCTTGATGGGTTTTAATTCTCTCTCCACATCCGAGAGCACAAAACTTCCTACAAATGCCTATAAAAGGACCCGACCCAAATCTCCAGGCGTGCTTGACCCTGCAGCCATCTGACACCATTAAAAGAATGTTTTTTATTATCAGAGCACAGCTGTACAACTGGTACTGCCTATCTCTCTGCTATCACCTGTGCTTGCTCCTGCTGTGCCTTTTTTCTGGCCCTCCTGAACAGCCTGCTCTCACAAAAGCATCAGTGCTCTCACAAACATTTCTGGGGGGAGGGCAAGGATGGGTTTCTACTCAGAACCCCAAGCAAGAAAGATCTCTCTCTTCAGCCTTCCTCATGCCATTCAATTCTTTCTATCCGCCTCAGTTTGCCACCAACCTTCCTCTGGAGAATGAAACACATTACTTTCAATAGTGTGTGTGTGTGTGTGTGTGTGGCACTGGGGATTGAATTTGGGGCCGTAGCACCGAGCTACATCATCCTTTTTGGTTTGTTTTTGTTGTTGTTGCTCTTGTTTTCTAGTTTTGAGAGAGAGTCTCACTAAGTTGCTCAGGCTGGGCTCCAACTTGAAATCTTCGTACCTCGGCATA